GAACACGAGGGGGAACACTGCGCTCATCTTACCATGACTGGGAAGATGATGGCGGCCATCGTAGACTTGAGGATCCAGAGCACAGCCAAGCACAGTATCTGCACCAGGGTGAAGAGGTGGATCCGGCGCAGGGGCACGTGCCGCAGGAAGGCGTGGTCCGGCTGGTGCTTGGCCGGCATCAGGAAGAGTTTGCAGCGATCCCAGAACTGGTGAGGACAGAGGAAGGCTCAGCCAGGCCATGGGGACCCTGGTGGCCCTTCTGGGGGCTTGGGTCTGATGGAATGGGTTCTGCAGTGGGGTCTCATAGAGGGGAGCCCCTGGTCAGGCCTTAAGGATGCAAAGGAAGGGGACTGGAGTTCTCGGAGGATGTATAATGAGATCTTATGGTGGGGGAGAGCTGAGCCCTTGGTGAGGGCTACAGCCCTGGTACTGGCCCCAGTAAACATTGCCCACATTCAAGGAAAATGCAACTTAACAGCAACACAAGCTATCCAAGACATCTGGTGTATCATGGTAAATAAAGAACAAAACAAAACAAAATATTTTCTTCTGTGCAAATTGCCTTAGAGAAGAGAGAGGTGTAGTGAAATGCTCGTAGGAGTCAGCTCGATCTGGGTTTTGAATTCTGAGCCTCAGTTTCCTCATCTGTAAAATGAGGATTAGAGGACCTAAGGGGAGAGCCTTACCTGGATGCCATTCAGGGAGGCCACACCCATGTAGAGGAAGACTCCATAAAGCACTGGCAAAGGGATGTACTGAAATGAGAGAGGGAAGCAGAGCTCTAGACTGGGCCTCTGCCCAAGGCAGGCTATTGGCCACCCTGTTCAGGGTGACTGTCTGCTGAGCCACAGAAGCAGCCTGGTCAGCCTCGGCTTTCTCCAAGGGGTGAAAGAGCTGGATGTTTGGAGGAATGAAGTGTCTGCTAGCAGATCTGGAGCCAGAGTGTCACTGGGGAAGGAGATGGTCTCTGGGGCACTCCTGCCCTCATCTCTAGCCCAGTGGACAGTTGCTCTCCCAGCCTGGTCCCCCCCGCCCCCCTTTAGGCCTTGCAGAAGCCATGTGGTCTGGCTAAAGATATACCTTCTGGAACATGGCAATTCTCCACAGACTGGTCCTTCCTGCCAGCCCCTTCCCACCTCCAGTGCCAGCTAAGGCCCCCCCCCACCAAACTGCATTGCTCACCTTGCAGGGGACTGGGGACCTTTGATGAGCTGACCTACTAATGAGTGGGGAGCACCTGCTGATGAACAAAGCTCGTGCATCATATACGATCAGGTAAAAAAGAATCAACAGAAGGGTATGAAGTAACCCCTACTGGCTGACAACCAACTGCTGATGGTTTGGTGGGTATCTCTCCTTCCCATCATGCTCACAGGTAGTTTGTTGGCTTTTTCAGAAGTTGGATCATGTCACCCATACTGTTCTACAATCATCACTGTGACTCTTTAGAAGACTTCTGAGGTATGTCTCTCCAAGCTGAGTCTTTGCTTCTTTCATCCTTCCCTTTACCTGCACCTGTGGCTCACCACTGCGAGCAAGGCTGCTCTGCTCGTTCCCAGGGCAGCTGCGCTAAACACTTGCGAGAACACAAAGTACTGTGTCCAACTTTTAGAAGCCATTTAAGAATGTTGGCAAATCCAAACAAATCAATAACCTCTTGTTTAAAATAAATTAGGCTGTGTTCATTTTTTAAACACAAAGCATGATTTGGACCCATATGCTATAAACCTTAAACTACAACACTTGAATTTAAAGAAAGGAAATCTGGACCCATTGCATCATTCCATTTGTACATGGCTTATGAAGTTTTTGCCTAATTATGAAATAAGGTAAAAATTTCAACCCATCAACAGACTATTGTTTTAATAAGATATATATGTATATATAAAATGGAATATTATTCTATTACACAACCATAAAAAATGAAATATTGCCATTTGCAGCAACATGGATGGGCCTAGAGAATATCATACTAAGTCAGACAGAGAAAGACTAATATTTTATGATATCACATGTGGAATCTAAAAAATCATACAAATGAATCTTTATACAAAATAGAAACAGGGACTTCCCTGGTGGTACAGTGGTTAAGACTCCACGCTCCCAATGCAGGGGGCCCAGGTTTGATCCCTGGTCAGGGAACTAGATCCCGCATGCATGCTGCAACTAAGAGTTCACAAGCCACAACTAAGGAGCTGGCGAGCTGCAACTAAGAAGCCTGTGAGCCACAACTAAAGAGCACACCTGGGACTTCCCTGGTGGCACAGTGGTTAAGAATCCGCCTGTCAATGCAGGAGACATGTTTGAGCCCTGGGCCTGGAAGATCCCACATGCCACAGAGCAACTAAGCCCATATGCCACAACTACTGAGCCTGTGCTCTAGAGCTCGCGAGCCACAACTACTGAAGCCCACAAGCCTAGAGCCCAGGCTCTGCAACAAGAGAAGCCACCACAGTGAGAAGCCCGTGCACTGCAACAAAGAATAGCCCTCGCTCACCACAACAACTAGAGAAAGCCCACGCACAGCAATGAAGAGCCAACGCAGCCATAAATAAATAAATTTATTTTTAAAAATTCATATTAAAAAAATAAAAATAAAGAGCATGCCTGCTGCGACTAAGACCCAGTGCAACCAAATAAATAAATAAATAAATAAATCTACTTCTAAAAAAGCAAAACGAAACAGAAACAGACTCACAAAGAAACTTATGGTTACCAATGGAGAGAGGGAGGGGGAAGAATAAGTTAGGAATATGGGATTAACAGATACACACTTATATATACAATAAACAACAAGGATTTACAGTATAACACAGGGAACAATATTCGATATCTTGTAATAACCCATAATGGGAAAATAATCTGAAAAAAAATCTGTACTAATCAGCCTCAAAGTGTGGGAGCAATTAACAGAGAAATAAAATCTTAAAAGACTAAGCTTCCCGGGTGGCGCAGTGGTTAAGAATCCTCCTGCCAATGCAAGGGACACGGGTTTGAGCCCTGGTCCGGGAAGATCCCACATGCCGCAGAGCAACTGAGCCCCTGCGCCACAACTACTGAGCCTGCGCTCTAGAGCCCACGAGCCACAACTACTGAAGCCTGCTCACTGCAACAGAGTAGCCCCTGGTTGCCACAACTAGAGAAAGCCCACACTCAGCAACGAAGACCCGACGCAGCCAAAAATTAATTAATTAATTAATTAATTTTTAAAAAAGACCAAGCTATAATCTGTAACAACACAAATTTAAGGTGGCTTAAAACTTCCCTTTCACCCTAATGAGTGTGAAAATCACATCAAAATGAGTTGTTTTAGTTTATAGTTACCAGTGACTGATTATCAAGTCACCTCATTATCAAGCCTAGGAAATTGTCTTCAGTCTTGTCATTTGCAGGCTGAAGCAGCTTTCTCAAAAAATCCCAATGGCCCATGGCATCACAAGTGATAGTGCTGTGATCTAGAATTCTAGATTAATCGGTGCAAGTCTTTCTTGGATCTCCAAGGAAAGGCCCTTTTCAAATATTAGTGACACAGTCAAGCAGCAAAAAGGTGCCTCTGGTGTCAGCTTTATACCACCTGCTAAAGGAATGAACAAGGATCACAGCCCTACAAACATAAGGACATCACAGCCTTCCCATATAATTTGAGGCTGAGATCATAAGAACGACATGGGGACCAGAGGGGCCACTTCCACATGGTCAGGAGTTCCTCTGAGGCAGAATACAGTAATCCACAGTCTTAATGAGTTGTGGTGAGTTGCAGGCAAAAAAAAGGAAACAAAACAAACAAAAAATCTTTGGGGCTTGGGATGAACTGAGAATCTGCAGAACTGAGTGTGTAAGCCATTTATGCTGCCCATCAGATACATGGTCACTTCATCCCTCAGTGCCCTTGTTTGGCAAGATAACCAAATATTTGCAAATTGGTGATGGAAGGACTGAAGACTATTGTTAGGGGAAACACTGACCGAAGGCGCCCACCCTGGCCAGGCAAGATAGTAGCCACTCGCATGAGTCATCTTATGACAGGAGGTCCTGGTAAGGAACGAAGAACTAATAAGCTACCACCAACAGGAAGAATTCGGGAAAGTTCAAAGAAGAGAGGAGACACCAATCCATATGTCCTACCAATCTCCCAGAATCCTCACTGGAATCATCTTGGCTGAGCGATGCGCGCGCCACCAAGAAGTTCCCTGAGTCAGAATGATTGGCCAGAGACAACCTGGAAACTAACCCAATCACCATAAAACCTGAGACTTTATGTGGCAGAGCAGTCCTCCTGGGTACCCTTACCCTGCTGCTCTCTGCCCGGGCGCCCCTTCCCAATAAAGTCTCTTGTTTTGTCAGCATGTGTATCTCCTCAGACAATTCATTTCCACGTGTTGGACAAGAGCCCACTCTTGGGCCCTGGAAGGGGTCCCCCTTCCTGCAACGTTATCACCGATCCTCTAATAAACATCACTGTATCTAATATCAGTCTAACCATCCATTGATACGGAGAGAGGGGTGGGGGGTGATTTTGTTCCTTGCTGCTCAAAGTGTGATCTTTGGACCAGCATAATTTGGTACCATTGGAGAGTTTGTTAAAAATGTAGAATTTGGGGGACTTCCCTGGTGGTTAAGACTCCATGCTCCCAATGCAGGGGGCCCAGGTCAGGGAACTAGATCCTGCGTGCTTCGACTAAAGATCCTGAGTGCCACAACTAAGACCTGGCACAGCCAAATAAATAAATAATTTTTTTTTAAATGCAGAATTTCGCACCCCCCCGCCAGACCTACTGAGTCAGTATCTTTATTTAACAAGATTCCCAGGTGATTTTTAATACACATTAAAAATTTTTTTGACATTTTTATTGGAGTATAATTGCTTTACAATGGTGTGTTAGTTTCTGCTTTATAACAAAGTGAATCAGTTATACATATACATATACCCCCATATCTCCTCCCTCTTTTGTCTCCCTTCCACCCTCCCTATCCTACCCTTCTAGCTGGTCACAAGGTACCTAGCTGATCTCCCAGTGCTATGCGACTGCTTCCCACTAGCTATCTATCTTACACTCTCTCACTGTGTCCCAGCTTACCCTTCCCCCTCCCCGTGTCCTCAGGTCCATTCTCTAGTAGGTCTGCGTCTTTTTTCCCGTCTTGCCCCTGCGTTCTTCATGACCATTCTTTTTTTTTTAGAGTCCATATATATGTGTTAGCATACAGCATTTGTTTTTCTCTTTCTGACTTACTTCACTTTGTATGACAGACTCTAGGTCCATCCACCTCACTACAAATAACTCGATTTCATTCCTTTTTATCGCTGAGTAATATTCCATTGTATATATGTGCCACATCTTCTTTATCCATTCATCTGTTGATGGACACTTGGGTTGCTTCCATGTCCTGGCTATTGTAAATAGAGCTGCAATGAACATTGTGGCACATGACTCTTTTTGAATTATGGTTTTCTCAGGGTATATGCCCAGTAGTGGGATTGCTGGGTCGTATGGTAGTGCTATTTGTAGTTTCTAAGGAACCTCCATACTGTTCTCCATAGTGGCTGTATCAATTTACATTCCCACCAACAGTGCAAGAGGGTTCCCCTTTCTCTACACCCTCTCCAGCATTTATTGTTTCTAGATTTTTTGATGATGGCCCTTCTGACTGGTGTGAGATGATATCAAACTACAAGTTTTGATTTGCCTTTCTCTAATGATTAATGATGTTGAGCATTCTTTCATGTGTTTGTTGACAATCTGTGTATCTTCTTTGGAGAAATGTCTATTTAGGTCTTCTGCCCATTTTTGGATTGGGTTGTTTGTTTTTCTGATATTGAGCTGCATGAGCTGCTTGTAAATTTTGGAGATTAATCCTTTGTCAGTTGCTTCATTTGCCAATATTTTCTCCCATTCTGAGGGTTGTCTTTTTGTCTTGCTTATGGTTTCCTTTGCTGTGCAAAAGCTTTGAAGTTTCATTAGGTCCCATTTGTTTATTTTTGTTTTTATTTCCATTTCTCTAGGAGGTGGGTCAAAAAGGATCTTGCGGTGATTTAAGTCATAGAGTGTTCTGCCTAGGTTTTCCTCTAAGAGTTTTATAGTTTCTGGGCTTACATTTAGGTCTTTAATCCATTTTGAGTTTATTTTTGTGTATGGTGTTAGGGAGTGTTCTAATTTCATTCTTTTACATGTAGCTGTCCAGTTTTCCCAGCACCACTTATTGAAGAGGCTGTCTTTTCTTGCCTCCTTTGTCAAAGATAAGGTGGCCATATGTGCGTGGGTTTATCTCTGGGCTTTCTATCCTGTTCCATTGATCTATCTTTCTGTTTTTGTGCCAGTACCATACTGTCTTGATTACTGTAGCTTTGTAGTATGGTCTGAAGTCCAGGAGCCTGATTCCTCCAGCTCTGTTTTTCTTTCTCAAGGTTGCTTTGGCTATTTGGCGTCTTATGTGTTTCCATACAAATTGTGAAATTTTTTGTTCTAGTTCTGAATACATATTAAAATTTGAGAAGCCCTGGATAGAACTCGACTGGAGGAACTGGTACAAAAATAGGTGAAGTTAATAAGTGATATAGAAAAATTAATAAAAATAAAACCACTAGTAACTAGGATCCAACTTGCACCCCCTAAATTTGTAGCATCAGAGGGACCTCTTTTCTGTTGGCTACATAAATAAGAATTAAAAATTTCAACTAAAGTGTGGTCTGTGGTCTTGGGTAGATAGCTCGCTAATGTAAGTTCTCTATGAGTCTAGTAGTTGGCTATGCCTAATTTGACAGAACTAGGCAAACTTACAGTTGCAAAAAGTTAAACAAGTTTTATGGAAATTTTTCTTGAATGGAAATAAATTCTGGGATTAAATCTAAGAATTCAGATCTGGATTAAATTGTATTTTTCTTTAACTGGATATACCAAATATCTCTCCTTTACCTAAAATCAATCTAATATTTAGTACTGGTGTCAGCTAGTGATAATGCTTTAATCACCTAACAAGTTTGAAAGCCTTGATATACACCTTGATACAATCTAATCAGAAATCTTAAATCTTATGATCAATAAAAATCTAGATGTCTTCCAGGCTATAAAACTTATCAAATAGATTAGTGGTTAAATAAAATGATTATATATATTTTTCCTCTCACTGTAAAAGAACATGAGCAGGCAAATTTTTCATATCCTTTTGTGATTGAATGCAAAGACAATGTCAGAGCATTTGGAGCTATAATAAACCCCATAAAATCTTTTTCATTACAGCCAAAGCAATAATGAATATTTCCCCATATCTGGCATCTTATCCTATTTATAGAGCCCATTTAGTTTTTTTTGGCTGTGCTGGGAGACTTACAGGATCTTAGTTCCCTGACCAGGGATCGAACCCGGGCCACTGCAGTGAAAGTGCCAAGTCCTAACTAACCACTGGACTGCCAGGGAATTCCCCCATTTAAAAAAAAAAGTATTTATTTATTTTTGGCTGCTTTGGGTCTTCATTGCTGCAGGTGGGCTTTCTCTAGTTGCGGTGAGTAGGGGCTACTATTCATTGCAGTGCTTGGGTTTCTCATTGGTATGGCTTCTCTTGCTGTGGAGCACGGGGTCTAGGTGTGCGGGCTTCAGTAGTTGTGGCGCATGGGCTTAGGTGCTCCGCGGCATGTGGGATCTTCCCAGACCAGGGCTCGAACCCGTGTCCCCTGCATTGGCAGACGGATTCTTAACCACTGCACCACCAGGGAAGCCCCCGCCATTTGTTTTTATAAGATGCATAGATTAATACAGAAATACAGTCTACAGCTTGGAAGTTACAACATTAGTGCCGAAAACTGCAGCAGGGGACTTCCCTGGTGGCGCAGTGGTTAAGACTCTGCGTCATGATCTGTCAGTGGCCCTTTCCCTTAATACCTTCAGAAGGCTTTCCTTTCTTGAATTAAGCTAAGTTGTAGTCACACAATCTTTCGCAGCTATTTTTCCCTTTGAATATCTTTTTACAAGCTCATTCGCGGTAAGCTTGTAAAACAACGAAGACTAAAGAACCATGATGTTAATTGATTTGTTTACAATGGAAAATATTTCTGGCTTGAGAACTGGTGCTGGGCACAACCAAACAGGTTTGAGGTTGGGTATTTTTTTAACGGATGTTTCTATTTTGCAGGAAAAAGATTGCATACGGGGGGGTGGGGGGCAGGCATTTTGTTTATTTAAAAGAGTATTTTAAAAGGCCAGGGAATGTCTACTTTTGTGGAGAGGCTGCCAAAGAGCCATTGTGCCTTAACCAACCCCCACACCCTCGCCCAGGCAAATTCATATGTTAAAGTCTTACCCTCTAGTACCTCAGAATGTGACTGAATTTGGAGATAGGTCCTTTAAAGAGGTAATTAAGGTAAAATTAAGTCATATGGATGAAGCCTAATTCAATACAACTGGTCCTTATAAGAAGAGAAACAGGACACATTACATACAGAGGACACAGACGTGCACACATGAGGAAAGACCATGATCTACTTCTAGAACATAAATGTCTAGTTTAAGCCACCCAGCTTGTGGCCTTTTGTTGTGGCACCCAGAGCAGACTAATACAACAGGCTGGAATGGAAAGCCTCTCTGGGGGACCCATGCTCCAAATGCACACCCCATTGCTATCATCTCTTACAGCTGATCTGGAAGGACACGAGCAAGAGGGGCTTCGAACAGTGTGGGAAAAAGTCACCTATGCGCCCAAGACATGCAACAGAGGAGCAGAAAACAGGCCCCAAGAACAAGGACAGAAGCCTCCCTCCCCTCTGCAAGTTTTAAACTTCAGAAAATAGGTGAGCAAGGAGGCCATAAACCACACTGTGGAAACACAACCAGCTTGAGAAGCTACTGATTTAAGCAAGGATGGAAATTGGCAGAAATGTCTGTGGGAAGTGTCCTTCAGAAAGGTGAGGGTGGACCCTGGGAGGGGTGGGAAAGAGCAGTGAGGATGGCCTGCTGCTGGTAATAAAGGATGCAACATTACAGAAAACAGTAATAATGATGAAACATGTCGGGCCTAATAGGATCCTGCCTTTTTAGGGGCCTTGTGGGGAGGCCGTTCCCCACTCTGAGGCATCGGATCAGTGCCTTCTCAGGCGGACAGGGCCCTAGCAGAGGGTGCAGAGCCTCACCTGCAGGATGGGAGCCAGGAAGACAGAGATCCCTGTCAGGATGAAGACAATGGTGCCGGTCACTCTCTGTTCCCTGGCAGAAAAGAACACATGGTCAGGGTGGATTGGGAGATGTTCCATGACCATTCCAGCCCTCTGTGGGCACTTGAAGGTTGTGTCCGAGGCTCTGGCCTCTGCCTTGCTGCCCCATTCCAGAGAGTAAACCAGTGACCTGAGGACCAGCTGCCCAGCACATGGGAAGAGAGGGAATCCGACTGAGGTGAGGGCATTTGTAGGGGTGTTCAGGAGGTTATCCAGTGCAGTGGCTAACAGGGGGTGCTTGAGCCAGACCAGCTTGGGTTGAATCCTGGCTCTGCCACTTACTAGCTATGTGGCATCAGGCAAGGCCCTAAATGTCTTCAGCATTAGTAGAACATGACTAATGGCACACACCTCAGGGGTTGTTGTGAGGATGAAGTGGGATATGAAGTGCTTATTATCCCTGCCTTTTGATTATAATAAGATCCCACGCTTGTGGGGCACGACAGATGAGGATTTAAGGGAATGGGGCCTGGCTGCTGGCAGAGCAGGTATCAGGGGCTGGAGGGCAGGTATGTTTTCTAGAGTGCTCAGACCCAGGCACAAGTCCAGGGGAAGCTTGGGGCTCTGGGGCAGATTGCTCAGGCCCAGCCATCTGGGGCTCAGGGGTTGGGGAGGGGACCCTGCCCTGACCATAGGAACCTTGCTCAGGGCCGGCTGGGCAGCCCAGGAATTCCGAGGTAGTGAGGAGAAGCTCTTAGGACAGCCATGTATGAGAATGCCAGGGTCTGATGTGGGCTCACCCCAGAGGTCCGAAGGGGTGGAAGATGCGCTTCCCTGCCTGAAACATTCGCATGAGAGGAGGGGCGAGTGAAGGAACGGAAGTGACAGGCCATGGGCCACAGCCCAGGGGGTGGGAGTGGTCCTGGAAAGGCTTTCCGGAGGAATGGAGATTGAGCAGGACCCGAACCCTGCTTTGGGGTATTTGGGGGACGGCATGGCTAGGGAGTCTTGAAGAAGAGACAAAGAATCAGGTCAGAAGGGGCTCTGTGGGAACTATTGAGCAGCCTATACAGGTGAGAGGTGAGAGCATGTGTAGGGGCTGGGGTGTACTGACTGGAATCTATTAAGAAGAAAGCACCACTTAAAACTGACTTTTCGTCTCCCTCTTCCCTCCCTTCAGGGCTATCACTCCTATCCCTGTGGTTCCTGGGTTGTTAGAGAAGGGGCCCTATTCACCCAAATACCTTGATGGTAAGAAAAACCTGCTTTCTCTCCCCACTACCCCCAATCTGACCACTCCTGCCCAGGTGGTCCTCAGGCCCTGACCACCACCTACCTGACCCCCAGGAACTGCGGCTGCTCCCCAGGGGCGCTGGTCTCCGTCTCCATCTTGAGGCTGTCGATGTGGGCAATGGAGATGACCGTGGCAGCCACGTACCAGGGGAGCCCCATGAAGGAGCAGAGAGCCATGAGGATGCCCACCCAGAACAGGTCCAGATGGTAGCCAGCAGCCTTCTGCAGGGGCAGGGGGAGGGAGGAAGCTGTCTAGGGAGCCTGTTGCCAACCACCTGCTGGGGTGGGTGGGGGAGACAGAACGCTCCCAAGGCAGCCATTTAGTGGAACATGTTTTGAGGGCTCCCCGTGGGCTTCTACACAGCACCCTGAGAGGATTGCCACCCTGAGGTGATCAGGCCTCACCAACCCCAGGGTTTGGTGAACCAGGGAACTGATGCAGGTAAGGGAGGAGAGGGGTGTTCAGGCTTGGAGAGGCCCTGGGTTTGGGTCCTTGGGAAGAAGTTCTCCTACCCAGCAGCCCAGTATCTCTGTAATTCCCTAATGAGGGGTCCCAGGTGGGGCAGGCCTAGACCAAGCCGAGAGTGACCCAGGCTGGGATGGGGGAGAGAGCAGTCTGAGTCTCCTCAGACTCAGAGGCAGGGAGGACAGTTGGCGGGGCCAGGAAGGCTATGGATGCTCCTCTGCCTTATGGTTCTGGGCCAAAATCCCCTTGTTAGGATCTGTTCAGACTCCCAAGTTCACTGTCAGGAGACAGAGCGGGAGGGTCACTTTGGGAGAAGCAAGGAGCCGTGCCCAGTGGCCCATCCTGGGCTTGGTCCTGGTCCTTGGAGCCTCCCCGCTGGCCCTTCTGGCCTTACCCACATCTGGAGGTCACATTCTCCCCACCCCCGGAACTCCAGTCTTCTGCCCTCATATTTTGCTTCACAAATGGCCCAACATTTTGAAAGAAGCACCTCCTCCCTCCTTCATTCCTTCTGACTCTGTGGAAGGAAAGAGATTGTGTCCCTCCTCCTAGCATCAGCCTTACCCTCAGCTTGTTCTCCTTCCGGTTGACTATGACGGCCGTGATCTGCTGGTCCATGAAGATCAGGATGGTCACCAGCAGGGCGGGCAGGATGCTTACCAGGTACACCCACCACGGGTTCTTCCCAAAGGGGGCCACGAACCAGCCTCGATCAGGCCGCGTGGGCTGAGCAGAGCAAAGGAGAAGGCCCTTTTCTCTTTCC